TCTTAGTTCTTATCTTTTGTTCTATATTTTGTATGTGTTTATGCAAATATGTATGAAAACTTTAGAGGTCTCACTCCATGTCATTTTCTTTCATCTCTAATTCACTTTCTCTATGTGTTTCTCAAGAAATGGGTTAGTCTAATTTGATCTTACAATCTCTGGTATGTCTTTTCTCTTCTTCCTGGAAACTCAAAACACTGCTCCTACTTTGAAAAGCTTTCAGGTGGGGTACTTTGATAAACATGTACACCTTCCGAGCTACATGTAGAAGGAACAATTGGGTCATCCACCATCATAGTTGTTCATGCGCACACACGAAGAATCATGATAAGAAAACTTTTATAGTTGACTGAGCAAAAGAAATATGTGTAAGTTTCATTTCAATGATGTTAAGTGTATATAATTAATTTTATACTAATTATAATAAATTGTTACGTTATTGGAAGAAATTATGTCACGTCATGAGCAGTTGACTAATTTTGGAGAACACTGAATGATAGTCAATTATATTTTGATGTTGTTGGTGGGCAAGATCGAAGGAGGATCGGAGGATTTATGGACTTGGTTCATATGCAAGGTTTTAAAAGGTGAAGGTGTGCCTTGGAGGTGTTTTGTAATGTTGAGGCGAGACGTAAACCTCAATTTACAAAATATATTTATAAATTGTAAACATTATTCATAAAATTCACCAAAATCTAAGATTAAAGTTTCATTAGCTAAAAGTCTCAAGGAAGATCACCACAAAGCATCAAGCATAATATAAGTCTAAAGCAAACAAACACATAACAATCCAAGTTTAAAGTAATAAACAAACAAACACATCATAAATCACAATGAAACTTCATATAAAAAATCATTGTAGTCTATAGCCTCATCATCCTCATTATTGATGGGGTGCTAGGCCCAAAACAGTACGTAAAAAGTCCGAGGTACATGCCTAGAATGGCGGCCCAAATACAAAGAACAAGGCCCACGAGGTGGGCTATAGCTAAATATGCTACTAACGAGAATCAAACCCAGGTGGCTGGGTTAAGAGTATAGACTAGAGACTGCAAGACCATAGTGCTTATCGTGTCTAAGTTGCCCTTAGCCAAAGATCCAGGGCCCCTATTTATAGCAGGCCCCCCTCCCCCTTTGGTTGTCCACGTGTCCCACTACTCAGACGCCACTCCCTCGTTTGTCGCACAGTAGTTCGCACGTTCACCACGAACCGACGCCCCCACCTTCTTCTCCCGCGCACCACCCATACCCCGGGCGGTCCCACCCGCCCGGTGGCGGCGACCGCACGCCCCCCGCGATGGGGGCGCTGGGTCAGCGCCCAGCCGGTGACTTCCCCCGGCCACCGCCCCCGTGGCCTCGCACGGGGGCGCTAGCCGCGCCGGGCAAGGGCGCACCGCCCGAGCCGATTCCGTTGCCGGCGACGCTTCCCGACGACACCCCAAACCACCTCCCGTTCACCAACCCCCCCTTCCGATCCATGCTCTTCACCCCGGCCCACCATGCATGCTTGTCTTCCCAACCCAACAAGACTTGGGTCAACCTCCTTCTTTCACCACCCCCACTTAGGCCAACACTTTCCTAATAAAATGGACCCCCTAGGGTCTCATATCCCCATCACAAGTCCCCCACTTTCTTTAGGCATCTGGATGCGTCTTTCGAATGTTCACTGGATGTCTTTGCTCGTTCTCTCTGTGCACCTGCATGCGCCTTTCAAATATTCACTAGATTTCTTTGCTCCTTCTCCATGCTGCACCTGCATGCGCCTTTAACTTTAGCCATAGCCTCCACTCCCTTTGGGGGGAGGGATTACCTTTCGCTTGGCGGGCTGAGCGCCCCCTGGAACTTGTATACCGCATGCCACAAAAATGCTCGCGGGCTGCCTACACTGCCCTAGAAATCCGTGCATGTGGGTTGCAATAACCCACATGCCCCAGCTACTAAAATGCATGTAGAATGCCTACCCTGCCATGCAAGCCCGCGCATGCGGGTTGCGATAACCCACACGCCCCATCCGCCAAAAGCCATGCGGCTTGCCGAGGGCAAGTCCGCGCATGTGGGTTGCGATAACCCACACGCCCCATCCGCTAAAACCCATGCGGCTTGCCGAGGGCAAGTCCGCGCATGTGGGTTGCGATAACCTACACGCCCCATCTGCCAAAAGTCATGCTACTTGCCGAGGGCAAGTCCACCCATGTGGGTTGCGATAACCCACACGCCTCATGCGGCTTGCCAAGGATAAGTCCGCGCGTGTGGGTTGCGATACCCCACACGCCCCATCCGCCAAAAGCCGTGCGGCTTGCCGAGGGCAAGTCCGCGCATGTGGGTTGCGATAACCCACACGCCCCATCCGCCAAAAGCCATACGGCTTGTCGAGGGGAAGTCCGCGCATGTGGGTTGCGATAACCCACACGCCCCATCAGCCAAAAACCATGCAGCTTGCCGATGGCAAGTCCGCACATGTGGGTTGCAATAACCCACACGCCCCATCCGCCAAAAACCATGCGACTTGCCAAGGCAGGCAAGTCCGCGCGTGTGGGTTGCAATAACTCATACGCCCCATCCACCAAAAGTCGGGACTGCCTACCCTGCCATGCAAGTCCGGTACTCGATCATTAGAATGACCGTAGGGCCAGCATGCATAGCACACAGGAGCACATAAGTGAGGTGGTCGTAGGCTATGAATAGCACATAGGATCACGTAGTTGAGGTAGCCGTGAGCCAAACATGCATAGCACATAGGAGCACATAATTGAGAAAATAAACATAATCTTTACTGAACTAAGTGTAAAAGTGTACTCACCAGGGTAGCGTCTCAATGTGTTAAGTGTGTTCCCTCGTAGGGTAGCTCATCTTGCGAACCAGCCATTTGGGCATACCTCAGAACCTTGCTCAGACAAATAGAGACTATAAACACGGGCTAATAGTAGCGATCCCCACAAACGGCGCCAATGATGGTTTTATTGGGACCGGGTCCACCATCAACCGGGTATAGAAATACAGAACAGGGGTAGGAAAGAGTAACTTTATTACCCAGGGCGTTAGGCCCAAAACAGTACGTACAAAGCTCGAGGTACAGGCCCAGAATGGCGGCCCAAATACAAAGAACAAGGCCCATGAGGTGGGCTATAGCTAAATATGCTACGAACGGGAATTGAATCCAGGTGGCTGGGTTGAGAGTATAAACTAGAGACCGCTAAACCACAGTGCTTATCGTGTCTGAGTTGTCCTTAGCCAAAGATCCAGGGCCCCTATTTATAGCAGGCCCCTCTCCCCCTTTGGTTGTCGACGTGTCCCACTACTCAGACGCCACTCCCTCGTTTATCGCACAACAGTTCGCACGTTCGCCACGAACCGACGCCCCCACCTTCTTCTCCCGCGCACCCGCCTTACCTCGGGCGGCCCCACCCGCCAAGTGCCGGCGACCGCCCCCCGCGATGGGGGCGCTAGGTCCGCACCCAGCTGCGCACCAGGCGTGCTACTGCCGGCGGGGGCCAGCGCCCCAGCCAGCGACTTCCCCAGGCCATGGACGTTGGGAGCGCTACCGCCGGCTGGGGCCCGTGCGCCAACAGACGACTTCCCCCGGCCATGGGCCCTGGCTGGCCACCGCTCCGTGGCCTCGCACGGGGGCGCTACGCCCGCGCCCAGCCGCGCATGGTGCGCTGGTCGCGCCGGGCAAGGGCGTATCGCCCGAGCCGATTCCGTCGCCGGCGAGAGCCGCCGCCGGAGACGCTTCCCGACGACACCCCAAACCACCTCCCCTTCACCAGCCCCCCCTTTCAGTCCATGCTCTTCACCCCGACCCACCATGCATGCTTGTCTTCCCAGGCCAACAAGACTTGGGCCAACCTCCTTCTTTCACCACCCCCACTTGGGCCAACACTTTCCCAATAAAATGGACCCCCTAGGGTCCCATATCCCCATCAATTATCAATATCTTTCCATTCTTCTTCATCTTCATTAATTAGTCTCAATTTTTCCTTTTCCTTATTTGACCCTTTAGCACTAGCGAGCCTTCTTGCTTGAGGATTTAGTTGGTTGAGTTTGAGTTGCTTGTGATGGCTACCCCTCAAACACATCAACATCAAGGTCACCCACACTTATATGAGATGCATCTTCATCATTTTCACCCACAAGCCATTCATCATCCGATGGCAACTCATCAATCAACAAGCAACATTGTCTTCATCCTTGCCTTCCCTAACCACTACCAATGTTTGAGCCAACTTCCACACACTACTCAAACTACATATGTGCTAAATTCTTTTTAGCTACCATTTTGTTTAAATAATCAAACTTCCACACACTACTCAAACTACATATGTGCTAAATTCTTTTTAGCTACCATTTTGTTTAAATAATCAAATAAATTGTTGCTTAATTGCTTTCGGCACATTAGCACACGGTTCAATAAATTGTTGCTTAATTGCTTTCGGCACATTAGCATGCGGTTTAACATTGTTTCTTGTCCCGACAAGATGATGTTTCATCCTTTGACACCCTCGATAACTTTCTCACAATAAGTACATGTAACATATTTATATGGCTTCTTTTCTTGACCTTCATGAACTAATTCAACACATTGTTCTAAGCCGGATCTTTTTTACTTTTCGAACTTGTAATCACCCCAAGATTTCCTGAACTACTGCCCACACTATTCTTCTTTAAATGATTCACCATTCTTATAAACAATCAACCTACAAAAAATTAATATTCCAAAAAATCAATATTTATAAAAGAAAAAAAAAAGAAACTATTGCCAAGTGCCACTGCCATACATAAACACACTCACTGCCTAAGACACAAACTACTTCCAAGTGGCACAATATATATTTATATATATATAAAAGACGAATATGTAGTGCTAATTAATTACAGTGTGTAGTGGGAGAGAATTTTGTACTAGTACAAAACAATTAATCCGCGACTATTGTAAAGAAATTTTCGCAACTGTTATACCGTAGTCGTGGATACTAGGTTGCGGAAAGGCCACCAGTTGTGAATCAGTCATGTCCAAGCCGAAGTTCCAGATCCAAGTTGGCCTCATCATCTGGATAATTTTGGAGTTGACCCCTCTCTTCTATGTGTTGTTGTACATGCGGCGCCGCCCTCCCGAGTTTCAACCAACCCAGATCATCATCGTCATCTCCGAAGAAATCACGACAGTATCGTTGTGGGTCATCGTTACAATTATGGTTGCGGTTAGTTAAAACCGCGGATGGGGAGCCGTTACCTCTAAGAGGTGATGCCGCCGCCGCAGCAGGGTAAGTTGAGGATCCGGAGGAGCTGTTTTGTTGATCGCTACCTTGAACAATGTTTGTAGTGTTAATCTTGTCGGAAAAAAGTGTCGTTCCCACTATGTCTGGCGGCGGGCCTGTCCTTGTTCTTCCGATGAACGTTCATGTGGCCGCCCAGAGCTTGCGCCGTGTTGAAGCCTCGCTTGCAGAACACGCAGTCGTAGGATCGGCCCAAGACGACCAGTGGGTCAACGTTGTTGTTGTTGTTGTTGTTATTGTTGTTGTTTTGCACCTCCGCCGGCCAGTCAACTGCTTCTTGTTGTCGATGATGGGCATCCGCAGGCGAGTTATTCATGGAGAAATTAAACTTCTCCTCCAAGTAAATTGCAGGATTAATGGATTATCGCCGTTCTTGATGTGATTAGTGTATATATATATATATATATATATATATATATATATATATGGTAATAAGGAGATCAAATAATGGGGGATTGGGGACTTGGCCAGACATATATGGTTTCAATTTAGGGCTTCTATGAACTATGGGACTATTCAAAGTGTGTTTAAAAAAAAAAAAAAAGATTAAAAATATTATTAACGCCCCTGCCCCTACTCAAAATTGCACGTCAAAGTCGCACCGCAGCAATATTTTCTAGATTATGGAACCAGCTTTTTATTTTTTATTTTTTATTTTTTAAAAAAAATTATAAAAGTATGGAACCAACTTGTAAACACTTTTTGCAAAATGATTGGTAAGGGTTAACTCGAGTCAAGTTAGTTAAGTTGTTGACTTAATAATTACAAGATTATTTTACATGTTAGAGTCAAAAGACAGAATTTACCTTGTGGGTACATTCTCAAAAATAGAAACATGCAAATGGTGGGATTATTAATAATTACTCACCCCGTCTCATTTTATATGTCTTACTTTTCTTTTTACTTTGGTTGAAATGTTGTACTCTTTCAAAAATTGAACATCACCATCATTCTATTTTTTTCCATTTACCCTTATTAGTTTTGTTTTGTTTTTGTTTTTAGTTTCAAAAGTGATAGAAGTTAAGAGCATAATTAAAAAACACATATCATTTACTTTAATTTCATTAAAAAAAACGTGCAAAAAATAAATGTGACAATCATTTAGGGAGGGAGAGAGTATGTACCTGAGAGCAGAGCACGTATGAAAGTCATTTAATTATTATTGGAAAATACTAATTACCCTAATTTTACCAATCATTCCATGATGTAGCAAAATTAATTTAGGCATAACCCAATAGGGTAGCTCAAGTGGCAAATGAGCTCTTTTTGTATGGGAGAATTTTGGGATAACTCGGGTTTGATTCCCACAAGTGACGATTCCCTTTGGGCCAGCTTTTGTGCCTCTCGGAGCGAATTGGGTGGACTTGGACCACAATGTGTGGTTTCTACCAAAAAAAAAAATTAATTTAGGCATAATTTTTTATGAGTAAATACCAGCCAAGGTTCGTGGTTTCGCCACCTTTAGTTCTAAATTTTCAAATCGACCCTCCGTGATTCTCCAAGTTTCGAATTTGACATGCCGTAATCCTTTCGTTAAGATATTTTGACTTTAGGCATTTGTACTAGCTTACTACATACGCCTATTCTCAATATTTAAAAAAAAAAAAATTATGTGTTTGTAGTTCGTGAAATTTAGAGTTTTTACGTACTAATATAAAGACGATGCCTATAAACGCGAATGGTGTTTTTTGTAGTAGTGTAATGATGTTACAAAACAACAAGACATGGGTACTAAGCACCGGATGCCACACAAATATGAAATAGAAGGACACTATAGGTGGGACAAGAAATCAACTAACCCTTCACTTTGCATTTACCCAACCGCCAGGACCGGCGGTATAAGTTTATTATATTGAATGAAAAGGGTTAGTTTAATTTGGAAGTGTTTAAATTTCTTAGTTTAATTAGTTACTATCAGGTGTGGTTACGTTGTATCTCCGAGTTTACCTTATTTAAATATATTATTAATTACCGCTAATCACGCTAAAAAAATTCTTCATCTATTTCATACCATGCAAATTAAGGTTTCTATTTTGTTTCTTACCATTTTTAAACATTAATATAATATTGTCCTTTCATTTTCCTCACGGTTATTATTATATACAAAGACCCTAATGGAGTCATTCAAGCTAAAGACTTAGTCATCAACAACTCAACATACAATTAATTAAGCGTCACAAATGGCCATCTCCAACTCTACTCTATTGTTTTTTGTAAGTTAAAATACTAAAACTTATATTTTTATTTATATAAGTACAAGTCTTCCTCTTCTCCCAAAAGATTACATTGAATCCCCAAGTGCAAGATCCATTCCCTCACTTCGACCCGACAGAGTATTTAGGAAGATGTAAATTACAATGACTTAATGGTTCAATCTGTCCACTTTGAACATAATTCCTACACTAACGTTGCCCAGTAGTTAATGATTTATCAACAAATACTAAAACACAATAGCTAGTGGTTAAAATACTCTGTTGTTTTTCGTAAGTTAAAAATACTAAAAGTTATATTTTTATTTATATAAGTACAAGTCTATAAGACAATAGCTAGTGGTTTATCAACAAATTTGTCAAGCCATCCAACTTTACCAATAACTACACGAATATACATCAAATGTAAGTGCGCATGCAAAAGCTAGCTCAGTAACACTATAAATAGTATACACACTTATATGTAAAATTTAAATATAAATTGTGATTTTAGACAATAAATTTTAAATTTTAACTCAACTATAAAAGTGTCAAATATAATATATCATCATATCACTCAAAAGTATAGTCGCAAAGTCATGTAGGAGCAGGGGCGATCATGTTGCTCCCAAGAATTTCTTTTATTAAAATTAATAATAGAACTTTCTGATTAGGTAAATAAACCGTAAATTAATAGATCTTTGGTATGCCTTCTACTTGTAAATTATAATTAGGCTATCCAACTTTTAAAAAGTAAAATTAAATGATTTTATTCTACGGAATTGTATAATTAACCTAGTTACCAGGACTATGTGGTCTAATGGTACCCGGGTTGGACTTCCATTTGGAAGATTATGAGTTCGAGCCTCAGTGGAGGCGTTATTGGTTCTTTGTGTTTCAGTAGGTTGAGAAAGTATATGAACTACAATGTAATAGAGCTAGTAACTTTCAAAAAAAAAAAAAAAAAAAAAAAAACCTAGTTAGCACTATTTCCATTTAGTGACAAAATTACGTGCATTATAGATTTTTTCAGTGCGGGTGGGTTATTCTGATCCCTGATTTCAAAGGAAGTTGAATTGTGGGATTTGTTGTCAACATTGAGAGTACGGATAGTTTCCTTGCCGAGTTGTGGGCTGGGGCCTAAGGGAGGGTCAACGACTTGGTAAGGAGATGGGGTTCCGGAGATTGATTGTGGAACTGGACTCTGAAGCGGTGGTCAAGGTGATGAGGAGAACTACGAGGTTTTTTTGAGGAAAAAAACTACGAGGTTAATGACTTTATCATTACCCTCATTTCTGATTGTAGGTATCTAGCTTCAGGCTTACTTTGAGGAGGTGATATTCACACATATGATGAGGGAAGACAATAAAAGTGATGTCCTTGTAAATTTTGCTCAGGCAAAGGATGCGAGTACAATGGTCCTAGAGGCCCACCCGATGACATATTGGGACTCCTTTCGGCCGATGCCAGCAGTGCTAGGTTCAGAAGGGTCAGTTAATAATACCCGCCTTTGGCGGGGCAGTTTCACAAAATAAATAAATAAATAAAATAAAATAAAAGATTTTTTTCAGTATATACAATAAATATACCAAAGCATAGTAAATGCTAGGCAGAGGTTGAGAGATGATGGTTATCCTCTCCTAGTCTCCTCTTTGATTTTTTTTTTTTTTTAAATAAAATAAAATTGAGAGATGATAGTTAAAAAAACTTATTGGAAATTATGGAAGCATTTTGAATTGTGAAAAGTACAATATTGATGGTCCTTAATTATATCAAATTTTCGTGAGTCCTACTAGGTATACAAGAAAATTTTACTTCGTTTTTAATACTTTGTAATGTGATTGATTAATATTAATGTTAAATGGTTCATATTAGTTTTTCTTTGTTCTTTTATTAATTTTATTTTTTTCCAATAATCATAATTACGAAATACAAAAATAGAATAAACTTGTTGCAATTTTCACTATTTTAAATTCTTTCTTCATATATGGCAAAACGCGTTTATCAACAACATGATGATTCCTAAATGTAGTTCCATTATCAAATAAATTTATTTAATGCTGCTATAGATTACTCTTTGATTTAAATAATAGATTGGGAAAATGGCACTTTTTCCCCCTATGTTATATACTTATAGCACTTTTTCCCCTTCAATTATTTAAGTGGCTCTTTTTCCCCCTGAAATGTTAAATGGACATATTTACCCTTAAAATAAATATTTTATTTATTTTTATTCTCCAATAAATTATTACTATAATTTGGTTCAAACCAGATACTATAGTAACCAAACCAAAATATTCCAATTACAATTTATAATCAAAACACGATATTTAGAGTTTATTAAAATCGCGAACTGGAATGGCCGGTTCATGTTTCGAACTGAAAAAATAAAATACATTTATTGTTGAATTTAAACTATTTTAAAATAAAAAATAAAATTTTAAAATAAAGACGGTTCAAAATCGCGAACGGGATCCGGAACTGTCGGTTCATGATCCAGTTTTTTTTTTATTCTTAAATTTAATAAATTGAAATCCAAATATTGGGTTCTAGATCTGAATCATAACTGAAAACTTTTAATTCGATTGCTATAGTGTCTGGTTCAGTTCGAACCGAACCGTGGTAATCGCTACATATACGCAATAATTTGTTGGAGAAGTAAAATAAATAAAATGTTTATTTTAAGGGTAGAAATGTCAATTTAATATATTAGGGGGGAAAACCACCACTTTTAAAATAATTGAGGGGGCTAATGTGCTTACATAAATAATTGAGGGGGAAAAAGTGCTATAAGTATATAACATAGGGGGAAAAAGTGCCATTTTCCCTAATAGATTTAATGAAGGGAAAATGGCACTTTTCCCCCCTGTGTTATATGCTTATAGCACTTTTTCCCCCTGAGTTATTCATGCATTCACATTTGCCCCCTCAATTATTATAAAAGTGGCGGTTTTTCCCCCTGATAATATTAAATGGACATTTCTACCCTTAAAACAAATATTTTATTTATTTCTCTTCTTCAACAAATTATTGCTTATACGTAGGGATGACCACGGTTCGGTTCGAACTGAACCAAACACTATAGCAATCAAATTAAAAAATTTCGGTTATGATTCATAACATAACC